CGTCAAGACGTAGGTCACTGAGAGCAAGCGATACTATGGTTTCCTTTAAAATGTTACCCAAAATGTCAGTCAAGATTCTAGAAGATAAACAGTTGCCCAATGATTTCCCAATTTTGACTTCTACAAATTCCCATAAATATATCTGAATAATAATTTGATGTCATAACAAATGCTCCCAAGCCTTCAGCTCTGGTTTCATTTAAGCAATCCAATATAAAGGCAGCTAATATCCTTCCCAATCATAAAGAGAGCGCAAAATTCCCAAAGCTCCTAATTAAGGCCTAGGTTTGGAAATATAGCCTAATGAATATACAGACTCAGTATTTTCTGCCCTAATTTCTACAAGCTGACATAGGCTTTACAACAGACACCTATATCTATAAACATATAGACGTATATGACATATATATTTATCACAATTTCACTGTTATGCTATTTTTTTTAAACAAAGTTCAATTCACTTCCCTAGCTTTTTTTACTAAAAAGCTCACAATGTAGGTAAATTATAATTCAATGTTGGTACATTCATAAAAATTAAAGCCTTCATGACACCTAAAAATATTGCAATGAGAAAAATAATCATTTTATCCTGTGTTCAGGGTTAAAGGATGTCCCCCTCCCCAATTCATATATTGAAATCCTAACTCCTATTACCTCAAAATGTATTTGGAGATAGAGCCTTCAAAGAGCTAATGAAGTGAGGACATTAGGGCAGGCACTAGTCCAATATGACTGGTATTCTTAGAAGATGAAATTAGGACACAGACGTGCATGGGAAAGGCCATTTGAAGAGAAGAGAAGACAAGGACCCTCTACAGGCCAGGAGAGAGGCCCTCGGAAACCCACCCTACCCACACCTCAATCTCAGACTTCCAGCCTCCAGAACTCTAAGGAAATAAACTTCTGTTCGTTAAGCCACCGGGCCTGTGGTACATCATTATGGCAGTGCTGGCAAACTAATACATCCCCCTTTTCAAATACACCTTTGTGATTGAAGCTTACAGTATCTCATGCCAGGTTCAGTTTTATGGGAAATTGCCTAAAGGTCTTTGGCAAAGCTTCTTTCCACACAGATCACACAAATAAGGTGATATATCTGAATTATGGAATATTTGCAAAACATTAGAAACTGTCATATACTCACTTCTTAAAGACTTGCTTAAATACTAATTACAGTAATGCTTTTTATTGGGAAATTTTTTCTTTCCATGTGTAAAAAAACAAAAACATGTCATTTAAAGTTTAACACAGCTATCTGTAATTTTTTTTAAATCATTGCCAAGATGAAATACTCTGAATACAATGCTTTGAATTTGGAAAATATTTTGATGGGTGCCAATTCTAATATGTAGCAAAGGGAAACACTCTTTTGAAATTTAAACATGAAGTTATCATCTTTTTCCAATATCTACAACACCAACATAAAATTTGGCTCTTGATTTAAATCTTACCATACGCATGGTGAAACCATAATGCTTTAACTACACTGAAGAGAAACTTTTTAGGTAACCTGCAAATACTGAGGTGCAAATACAAATACAACTGAAAATGGGGACTAAAAAGATTTCAGGTTAATTTTCACACCATAAAGTGTTTTTCTGTTGATTAATGAAAAACACAAACATCATAAACTAACAGACGCATTGAAGAAATAGTTCTAGAATTCTAAAGCTAGCGATTATCCCATAGGGACGACACTGTTTAAAGAAATTCCTATTTTCTGTGTTCTTGGCTGGTGTCCCTCAGAGGAGTGCAGATTAAGTTCTTAAACCAACCATCCCTTCCTCTAAATAAAACCAAATACCAATTTGGATTTAGTGTTCAAACATCCAAGAATGTTGTTCATGAAACAACTTCCAAAACTGGAGAGTAAAGTCCTTTAAAGTGCTACCTCAAAAAATATTTACAAATAACATGAGGCTATCATTACGCATCATTAGAGAAACTATCCTTAGGAAAGGTATCTTCTGGGAAGAGGGAAGCTAAAGGGTATTGACAATATCTAAAGGTACCCAGAGCCCATGCAAGCATTGCCCACGGCAATCCAAAAGATTTAGAAATATTTTCCAAATGCTAATATTAAAGGGAGGGAGGGAAAGAAAACTACCACCACCCCTGGCTCTTAATTGTGCACATCCTGCTAGGCATTATAGCAGGATTCATTCTATTTCTACTCCAACTTCTCTAAAAAGCATAATTCTAAACAGCTTTCCAGAAATCAACAGCGTATAGTATAGTGGTAAAGAGCATGGACTCCAGGGCCAGTTGTCCCCAGGTCTATCTCTGGCTCTGTTGTTTACTAGCTGTGTGACCCTGGACAAGTCACTGAACCTCTCTGTGCCCCAGTTTCCCCTCTCCAATGGAGATAATCACGGAGTCATCTCAGTGGGTTGTGTTAAATGAGTCTCTCCATGTAAAACCTTAGCGCAGTGCTTGAAACTTGGTAAGATTCACATAATTGTTGGTGGCAGTGGTGGTGACAGAGAGATTCAAAACCCAATTACAACCAGAGCACAAGGCGTTCAGTGAAACGTCTGGTGAGGTTGGGTTGAACAAACCGATGAAAATTCCAGTCTAGGTGACAGCTGAACACATTTGAGAATTTAATTTACAGACAATTTTTTCCATCTGGCTTACACTGTTCCAGAAATTCACATTTCCACTGATCCAAGAGGTCACATGCACCCAGGGCTGGACCAGACAACAGAGCAAGCCAGTCTCCAAGGAGTTGCCTGAAAACGGCTGACCTTGGGGCTGGCCTACAGGTGAAACCTTTAGTGCAGCCTTAATCGAATCGTGGTTAAATGCATATTTAACACAGACACTGACAAGGGCATTAGAGACAAATTTCGTTAACTAGAGCATTGTGAACTTTGGGTCCTCAGGAGTGGTCACTGATGACCTCTCACCCCAAGATTCAGCAGCCACATGTGGGAGCAGGTGACAATGGCACTGCACTGTCCTTGATTCCAGCACAGGGACTGTCCCCTGCACCTGCACACCCTGGGCCTGATTCTCCCGGCCCAGTGCTGCCGCCAAAGACGATGCAGGGAGAGCACCATCAGGGTCTCACGAAGGCCAACACCAGGGGATTATAGTGTGCTACTTGCGATTGTATGAGCTATGAAGGCTCTGGCGAGGTTCGAACAATTTTATCTGGCCCTGACAACCCTCTTAAGAATATATATCCAATTTTTATTCCACTTCCCTGTCACCTCCTAATCTCTGACTTTCTTTTCTCTGCTCCAGGAACTGCTTATCGCGCTTAAGTAAACAAACATAAATAGGGTTTTTCGACTAGTTGTAAAACTCCAGCGTTTAACAGCACACACTGCATTTCTGATCCCATCCCTATGTACACTCACCGGGATGTTCAAGAGATTTAGGCCAAAGTTGATTTTCCTCTCCTCTGGCAATGCCCTGAGTGCCCTTGGCCTGCACTGGACACACAATATCTGAAGCAGAAGTACTTTTTGTCAGCATTTCCCTTGGCTACATCTAATTCTTTACATGTGGAGGACTGGTTTTGTATATAATCACTGTTTATTTCCTTAGTACATTTTCTATCTCCTGCAAGTGTGCTGCCAAATGTTTAAAGCTTTCTAGTTTGAAGCACAAGGCAATTGAAAAAGATGGGAGATACACAAAAAGCATGAGAGAAATACTTCTTTTAAACAAAAGCCGAATGTGGTTTAACTCAAACTGAGTTTTTGAATTATGCCACAGTCAGTATGCAAAATCCCACCGACAAAAACAGCCGAGGCCCTGGAAACAGCAAGTTAATGAATCAAAGCAGCAAAGCAACATGTACCTACAAAAGCGCTCTGCAGTGTGGTCTCCACCAATCTAAAGCTGCAAGATAACTCATCAAAGTGGTTATGTTTTATAAATTCTTGCTGACTCTTCATTGTATTGAATTCCAATGAACTATTCCATTTTATCTTTTTTATTTAAAAAATATTTGAAATGATACTTTAAAGAAATATTTAACTCTCTCCTATAGGCTGGCAAGAAATAAGACTGTTAAAGCAGTGACTATAAAGAATGATCCACTTCTCGGAGTCAACATCTTTCGGATTAGTAATAATAATTCAGAGAAGCTGAATACCTTTAAAACTTTCCATTGCTGAAAATTATCCTACTGACAAACTAAGAATATATATCAAGCGTGGAAACAAGTCTGTGCCCAGCTCTGAAGACCTCCGTACTGTGGCTTGCTTTCTGTGACTGAAACATTTTGCTGTAGTGATTTATTTTACACCCATGTGGCCAGCCATTTGTTTATTCTATTGCATGCCATCTGTTTTTTGGTAGAGAGGTTTCAAGTTCTTCTCATTCCCTTCCTCATATCCCACGGAAAACAATTTATAATGCACTTAGATTTAAATCATTTGGATTCATGTGGAGTTGGTAACTCGAGCTGCCTTTCACTGATATTTGGCAAATGCTTTAATGGGATTAGCAAATTGTTATTACGAGGTACTTATGGAGACACACACCTTTTTTTTCCACAATGACAAATGATGTTAACAGTTTCATTTTGGGTGTTTAATAGCAGTACGGTTTCACTAACGTTAAAGAAAATTGCCCTGATAGGCAATAAAGTCCTACCACAAACCCTGTCCATATCTTGTATTTCTGAGAGTCAACAAATGTGTGTATCTGGATGTGGTAGGGTCTACAGTGAGACCCTAAATATCAAGTTGCTTCACTTTTAAGAGTAAGTTATCATTTAACCCACAGGCCTGAAAACCCTATCTGGTCCCAGCATCTTGCTGGCATCCTGTAAGCCCCGTGACCATGGTCTAGCTTCTCCAGCTACTCACAAGGGGCGGCATGCTCTGGACTTCCCCAAAGAAAAGTTTATGCCACGAACTCCAGCTCAACAGCACCAATTTATTCCCATCCTAGGGCCCACTTTGAGTCTAAAGAAGAGTCAACCATTCAGAGACACGGCTTCTTGTTGAAACTACACAGATGATGCTTAAAGTGTTAATTACCATTTTCACAAGAATCCTCGCTGCTTTGATGGAGAGGGGGTGTCTGATCACAGGATTCAGCGGCTGTCCACAGTTCATGGTTGCTACCCGCAGGCTGAGAAACGTCCGTCTTGAGGTCTACTTGACTCTCACTAGTCCTTCCCAAGTCCGAGTTAGACATATTGAGGGGGTGGGTGTCATCCTGGTGGATGGCTGTTGGAGCTGGTGTGTCGAAAGTGTTAAATGACATTTGTACTAAAGCATTGTTGACGGGGAATGAATTTTCATAATGTAAACTCTCAGATCGATTAAGTTCCATTACCTGTATAAGAAAATACAAAAAAAAAAAAAAGCCGCACAATAATTTCTCCAGGCATTTGAACAAGTTTTATAAAGTATTTACTCCTAATAGAATTTAGCAGTCAACATTTTCATCAGAGTGAAGCCAAGAAGAACATTACCCTTGACCGCTTCCTTCCATCCCTCCAATGAGCTAGTACCAAAAACTTCAGTTTGCTATGCACAGCATATCTTTTAAAAAACAGAAAACAAACAAACAAAAACACAGCCCTGGCCTGGTGGCTCAGTTGGTTGGAGCATCGTCTTATACCCGTGACCAAGTGACTGTGGAATCGATTCCCAGTCAGGGCACATGCCCAGGTTGCAGGTCCTATCCCCCGTAGGGGCGCATACGGAGGCAGCACATCGATGTTTCTCTCTCACATCGACGATGTCTCCCTCTCCCTTCCTCTCTCTCTAAAATCAATAAGCATATCCTCAGGTGAAGATTAAAAAAACACCCAAGCAGCACTGCTCTCTGCCATTCAAACGTTTCCACTTTATTTTAAGGGAGAGCAGCACTTGGCTAAATAAAACGATGGAAACATATACATGCATACATGTATTTGCAATAAATGTAATTTAGCCAACTTGAAAAAAAAGTCAGATGCAGGTCTTTCTTATAAGCTTATCGACTTTTACAGCTTTATGTACTGTCAATAAAATAGCATATATTTGCACACAGCACAGAAAAGCAAACTCTTGGGACAAGTGCGGTTGTCAAGCCTGGTTAGAGAGGGCGCAAGTGGAACAGAGGATCTTCCGAGAGGTCTTATTTTGCCCAGTCATCGACTAGTATACTCACGTTAACCATGGTTAGTGAAGGGATTTTGAATTTACTATATCAAAATGACAAAAAGAGCATAAGCGTGGAATAACAGACTAGTGTTAATAACAGAATAGCATTACACTTGCTAAGCTGAGGACCTGTCATGCCCATTAATAGCTAACTGGTCTACAGCAAGGTGCACCTGTGCACACGTCTGAGCCCGGATCATCTAAAGAGGGGCTTAACCACAGGGAGCACAGCAGCCCGCGGTGCGTGTGCCTCCAGGGCAGACCTCTGGGCACTGGGGCGGCTCCACCCTGCGTTCATCCCCTTGGGTTGGGGCGTCTCCATCTCCAAGGAGCCCGCGATCCAACAGGCCCAAGGCCTTTCGAATTTCCACATTTCAAACCAAGATGCATGTGCACCGTCTGGGACGGCTCCCAGCACCTGCTCCCTGATACCGAGTAAGCCCGGGGAGCAGAGACAGGGCGGCGAGGGCCTGCCCTGGAGGAGCCGCCCCGGGCACCGCCGGGCGAGCCCGGGAGACCTACCTCGGAGCCTCCCGGCGGGAAGGCGGCGGGAAGGCTGC